TATATATATATATATATATATATATAGATATATATATATATATATTAAGAATAGTAAAAAAGGCAGAAACCAAAAGAAGCAGACAAGTCAAATACCGCCCTTCTCATCTGTCCATTGTATTTGGCTTGAAAATTGACAGTTCCTGATAATGCAACTATGCTTGCCACATCTACAACAAGTACCTCTCCCACTTCAAGATTTTTCTGCACAACTGAATGGGGAAAAACATTGGGCAGGAATAAAGGGATCAGATGATAAAACTTGTGATGTTCAATACACTTAAGATTCCTTAATATCATAAAATAGAAAAAATTTAATGGGCCTAGTATTTCTTATTTGGCAACAAATACGCTAGAAATTTTAACCATCCAATTCTCACAAGAAACTCCAATAGCATCCCAATGAACACAACGCTTTGTATTCACTAAGAAGGATCATCTTTCTGACCATAACCAACATCTAAGTACACTGTAGATCTTCACATTAAGAATATATTACAATAATCGGTATTCAAAATAAAACTAACGTCTGTCGGAAATCAGAAAAACATGATGATAGTATCTCATTGCCTGTATCTAAGATAGTTTTAAAGGTTCTAGGATGACCCACATTTTCTCTCTTCTGCCGGTTTAAACATACAAACATGAATCAAACACTTAAATTATAGCCATGCCTAAAAGGTGAAAGAAGTTTTTCACAGTAACTGAGATTCTGCTTCATACCAGAACCGCCTCCGACTATAAAAGCAAGCCCTTGTCCAGATATCTTATGCCTCAAAGATCCCTGGAAATATTACTAGCATATCAAACAAAGGTTCGATCTGTCTTGGTTAAATCACAAAGGCAGATAATCATGCAACACATAAACACAAAATAATTCTGTCATCTCACCTCTGCACTAGTAATCATGTTACGTGCCCTTTGGTCAAAGGTATTTCTGACTTTGACATCATTGATAGAGCATAGAAATGCATCTGGCTACAAAATATATCAATAAAAGAGATGATCCAGTTGGAAAGCTTAAATAAACCACAAAGAAAATAGGGATGATTGTACCTTAGCACAAGGATGGAACAAAAGAGATAATGACAAATCTTTACCTGGCATAAGATTTCACCTCCAAACATTGCTAGATCAATCTGTACAGTGTCAGTGCATCAGATAAAAAAAGAAAGAAAAAAACAATTGATTTAATAATACTAGAACTAAAATTAGATCTATAAGGAAATAGGAAATATAAGACCCTACATTACATGGCTGGACTGATAGCTGTTGTTGTAGGCAAACTCCGCCAATGGCAAGAATTGATCCCAAGAACCTCCAAACACAATCACACACGCACGGAGCATATCCTCAAGAATCTGAATAGTGCGCTCGGACTGCCCATCCGTTTGAGGGTGAAATGCTGTGCTCAACTCCACTCGAGTACCCAACTCCTGTTGTACGGCTCTCCAGAACCGCGATGTGAACTGAGTACCTCTGTCTTAAATAATGGAAAACCCGGAACACCATGCAGACGGACAATCTCCCGGATATAAATCTCCGCCAACCGCTTCGAGGAACTAGGTAGTACACACAGGGGATGAAAATGCGCGGACTTGGTCAGCCGATCCACAATAACCCCAAATGGCATCCAACTTTTTGATATTAATGGTTTGGTACCTGTTGCGAAAAGGTAAGATTAAATTGGCTGCGTAGCTTCATCAGTAGCCGACATCCACGCTCCCGGAGGGTGCGAAAATCCGGGCGTGACAAAATCAACTTTTCAAATCACTAACGTGAATTGAATTTATATTAAAAACGGCGTTCATGCGTGACATCCTTAATGGTTTGATAGTTCTAACTTTGTTAACTTTCTAATTCGTTAAGTAGCTAATTTTAATTTTTATGGTTACAGCTTGTTAATCAGACTACTATCAGAGGAGCACATTGGCTTTTGCAAAAGGGAAAACACAAAAACAACCATTAATGGACAAGACAAATCGTGCATAATTCCACTCCATTATGCAGGTGTCAACACATACAATAATTGTGGACATGTTCATCGTCTAAATTCTTCAGCAACTATATACCAAATAGCAATGCCAGCCAAAATTTGCCATGTGGTTTTGTACGAGCTTCAAATGTTGCACAACAATTCATTCTTATGCCAGATTTAAATGTGCTTAGTAACCATTAATAGCCAGGTAAATATTTTCAGTGAACTTTATGTAAAAACTATGAGGCTTTCATAAATTCCAACTACATATTTATTATTACTTATTATTAATTTGAGGTATGTAAAAGTTTCTGACGGTCCATCGGCTCTCCATATAAAATATGAGATTGTAATTTATATATTTATACATCCTAAATACCAATTCACAAGACACCTAAAACTCATCAATAAAACAGGGCATGTCCTACTATTTTTCATTAGGTGAACAAATATAAAATGCCCTGTTATATTTCGAACTTATTAAGATAAAACTATATTTCATTTGGATCATATTAACTTGAATTATGTTGGTCCTCTTTAGAAGTAATATCATTTTTGACAAATAAATTATTTATCTAAATGGTATTCACATTCAAGCTCTTTCTGAAAAAACTGAACATTAAGAAATATAAACATTTATAAATTCTTGTCATTATCGTGTGTAGCTTTGTATAGAATAAACAACACGAGCATTTAGAGGTTGATATTCCCATGCGCGAACCTAAATTGTGATGTATAATTATTTATATGCATACATGTACAGTAATTTAGAGGGTAATGTAAGAGTTTGATTAATAGCTTGATAGTTTCACAAACTTTTTTCTGTCTTCTAATAGTTACCCTAATGTTTCATTTATGGTTTGTAGACTTTTGTTGATCCTAATACTATTCCAGGGAGTGCTTTTTGAGAAAGGAAAAATGAAACAACCATTAACGACAAAACAAATCCTCAAAAATTCCACTCGACTTTTCAGTACACCCATTAAAGAATTGTGGACATGTTTCATCGTCTCGGTGTCAAGGACAATATTCCAAATTCAATGCCAGAACAAAATTGGCGATATGGTTTGTCTAATTCAAATGTACAGACAAGATCATCTTCTACCGGA